ATTTTTCACATTGACGAACAATTGATTCTGATATAGCAGAAATCTAATAAATAGGAAAAAAAAAGTTTTTTTTTTTTAAATTCTTTCGAAATTTAAAAAATTTTTTACTTTTTCAATATTTTGAAAAAGATCAACAATTTCATCTGGATTTAAATAACGTCTTAAAGGTCTTGAATATTTAATAATATATTGTTTTAAATCTTCATAATAAACTCTTTCGAAAGAAAGTATTTGTTCAAGCATTGATTCTGATTGTTGTATTGATGATAATGTTGTTGCTGTTTCAGAAAAACCACTATCATATTTTTTTATATTTGGTATTGACATATTTGTATAGTAAATCGATGATGATGATGATGATGACGACGACGTTGTCGATGAATATATTTTTTCTTTTGCTTTTTTTACTTTCTTTTCATTGTTTTTATTCAATGATTTCTATGAATAAAGAATAAGATCAAAAACAAGATGAACATTTCAAGTAGAAAAAGCGATTAATACTCATAGAAAACAACAACACAAAAAAACAAATTATAACTTCTATGATCATGTTGTGCTTCAATGAACCATTTAGCTTGTATTTAAAAGCAGAAAAATCATGCAAAAGAGAGACACATTCGTTTTTTTTCTCATATGCACACAAATAGAAATTATTTTAAGATATAAATAACAATTTATAACAGAAAAAAAATTGTTTTTTAATTTGATCAAACTAATCAACGTTTAGAATATCTGCAAATATTCTCATATAAAAAAGACAATATTAGTGCACATTTATGAAGGATAAGAGTTGACATTAAGACCTTTCAGTAGTATCTCACGAGAGAACAATCCGAACTGATACCCACATCCTCTAAGCCTACAAGAAAGTCTTCGTAAAACTAGAAAAAGCCTAGAAGAGTTCATGTCGACATGCCTCTGGAGCTGAGTTTTGACTGTTTTACCGAATTTTTTGATCATTGAAAAATCAAATAATAGAATTTCGGCTTGTGATATAGCCCATAGATAAGTAGAATGACTCTTAGAATATCCTGAAAGTTTCAGTCGAAAAGAATCTTCTTTTTGTAGAGATATTAAATTTTCAAGTAAACTTGATTTTTGTAATAA